CTTACCACCCCACAGGCAGGTGACAGATGTTTTCCTAGTCTGCCAAAGTTGGGAGTTTCCTGTGATGCTCTTTCCTTGTTTCAAAAGCCAAAGGGCCAGCGGCAAGTTCCAGTCACTGTTTCTTTGCAGTACCACACTGGTGTAAACTATTGATTCATTTCTTTGTTTCCTTTGCCACCTGGGTATTATCAAGACTAAGAATCAGGCATGTTTTTAAGGAACTTGAAGTAAAGAACAATGGCCTATGTTACTCATTCAAAAAATGTATCTATCAGAAGGACAAGATGAAGGTGGCTCAAACTGACCCAGTCCTTTGTTTTTGTCATGGCATTTCATCATAGAGTTCACGTAGGCCAAAGAGGAGCTTTGGTGTTGAGATCACTAGCCCCTGGATCCTGGCTCTCTGTGCTGGGTGTGAATCTCTCTGAGCCTGTTTTCTCACCTATAAAATGGTGCTAATAACCCTTGCCCAGAAGGTGGTTGTGAGGTTTCAGATAATTGTGCAGAGCACCTAGCAGTGTCCTGCACATGGCCACTCCTAATTAATCACCGTTTTCCATTTTTTGACCCGGTAAGACTCTATACTTAGAGCCACAGATGTGTAGATTATTCTCAGGGTTTGGTTTCCTCTGGCTAGATGCCTTTTTCAATTCAGCCTGCTATGTGAGTGCCCTCAAAAGAAGATTGATGTTGGGATGGTATTACTTTCTCCTCTCCAAGGGCCTGCTGCTCTGAGTGCCCCAGGGACCCCATAATGAGCAACCCATGTCTGACCGGGGACTGAGACAGCTGGCAGGCCACTCACAAGAGTGGCGTTTCCATCTGACATGTGCCCAGTAACCCTTCAGGTGCCTGATGTGTTGCTTGTTATATCAGCAATCTGGCCCACCTCTTGGCGTGCACCACAGAGTCTGATTTGCTTACTACAAAGGTTTAGAAACGGTTGTACAAGAAGTCCCATCCTAATTTTGTGACACCCTACAGAGCCTTCAGTTACTTCTCCGGAGGTGTTTTGACATTCCGTAAACCACAGTTTAAATCTGAGAGAGAGAATCCATGTCATTTAGCAAGGGTAGTTGGTGCTATTGCCACAGCTTACTCTCCATTCCCGCATTTTATAAGTTGAAGCACTGAACTAGATCTTTGATTCTTTGGGGTGAGAGGGATAAAGGCAGTTGTCCAATTTAGCCTTCCATCAAATGGCAGAATCTCCTTGACAATGGGTATGACAGGTAGTTTGCAGTCTCTGCTTTGAGTATTTACAGAGCAGTCCCTTCCTTTTTAAACAGCTGGGGATTTTGTTTTTTAAACTTCTCTTTATATTGGCCAAAATTGCCTATGTTCTCCTCTTATCTCTCCCAACATAATCCTTTGGAACTATAGAAAATGATCTCTTTCAATGAGATAGTGCTTTAGCTATTTGAAATAACTGACATAGTTCTCTGTTCTTTCCTTTTCCAGCTACAGATCCTTGGTATTTTATGTGAGTGGGTCTTTATTACCTTAGAAATTCTCCAGATTGTCAGTGTACTCTTAATCATTTATTCCATCATCCATTTATTTATTCTGCCTTCCCCGGGAACTTTCAGAGGAAGGCAGTGAATCACAGTGGTTAGGAGCACAGGTTTTGGAGTCAGAACTGACTTGGGCAAGTAACTGAATTTTTTTAGGACTCAGCCTCTTCATCTGTAAAATGGGGTTTTTAAAACCCACATGCACAGATCTGTTTTGAATCTGGAATGAAATAATACATCTAGAGAACATAAGCAAGAGGGGTGTGTAAACACATAGTACACTGAGTACTCAGTTGGTGGAGAGTAAATTTTCTAGCTAATTTAGATTGTTAGAACACACCTCATTATCTTGTTTTAGTATTGAGAAGGTAGAGGAAGTATAAGATTAAAATTTATTATGTGTTTACTAGAACTATGGTTAGAAGGTTTATGGTGATTGGAAAAACTGTCTCCTTGCAGCTTTTCTTAACGTTCCATTTTTTAATTTCTTAACAGTTTATTTGAGAGCATCAGTTTTACTGAAGAACAGTGCTGTTGTTGTGTTAGTTTTGACAAGCAAATTCTGCAGGATTGAGATTTTTAAAAAGAATGTCACTGAAATCCAGATGGGTTTCCTTGTGTATTCAGATTCTGGAGCTAATAATTTAAACTGTATGGCTTTTTTTTTTAAAGATTTTATTTATTTATTTGAGAGAGAGAGAGAATGAGAGAGAGAGGGCACAAGAGGGAGAGGGTCAGAGGGAGAAGCAGACTCCCCGCTGAGCAGGGAGCCCGACGCGGGACTTGATCCTGGGACTCCAGGCTCATGACCTGAGCTGAAGGCAGTCGCTTAACCGAGCCACCCAGGCGCCCTAAACTATATGGCATTGTTAAGGGAGAGCATAGCTTGACTCATGGTTATCCAGTTGCAGCAATGTGTGACAACAGAAGCACTCCCCCCTCTCTTTCCTCGAGTTATTGGGTGGCTACTGTATGCTAGGCGCTCAGCCAGGTCCTGCACATTTCACCCTCAGAACCCTTGTGAGGAGGTGCTGTCCCTGAGATGCTAAGTCACTTACCCAGAGTCACAGGACTTGTCTGTCAGGATTCAAACCCACGTCTGTTAAGATTTCAACCCTTGGGCGCTTGGGTGGCTCAGTCGTTAAGCGTCTGCCTTCAGCTCAGGTCATGATCCCAGGGTGCTGGGATCGAGGCCCACATCAGGCTCCCTGCTCCGCAGGGAGCCTGCTTCTCCTTCTCCCACTCCCCTGCTTGTGTTCCCTCTCTCACTGTCTCTCTCTCTCTGTTAAAAAATAAATAAAAAAATCTTTAAAAAAAAAAAAGATTTCAACCCTTAAATTCTTTATGTTGTACTTCCTATAAGTAGAAGATGCCTGGGAGAGAGTCTAGATTGGTTAAATTATCTCATGTAAAGATATATCATAAATCATTAATGTGCTTTTTTTTACTTCTTTAGTGAAAAGTCTAGGTCAGAGCCTAGAGATAGCGGCAGTCACTCCCTGCACCCTGGGAGGCTATGTGGCTGATTTTATGAGGAGCGGGACAGGGACAGGGGTAAGCTTTGTGGAGGGCCTGGTTCTCTTGGACCCCAAGATCCGTTCACATTGCATTAGAGTCTTCCTGACTGAATCAGTTAGTAGGCTCTATACAGATTTGCCTTTGGGTGGTCGTTACAGGTGATGTCAGCCCCCAGCCCAGATGGGCTTGTTCCTTCTTTCATGTACATTTTATTCTCAGCTGTTCCTTTCTTTCTTTCTTTCTTTTTTTTTTTTGCCACTTGTTTGTACAGGAAGTCCTCAAAGAATCTCAGACTAAACAGGAAGTGATTTGTTCCCATATAAATAGAGGTACCAAAAGGAATGAGGATGGGCAGGATAAGGAAGGGGGAATGGTTGACCCTGACCTAGAAGCTAGTTAGTGGTCCCCTTTAGTGGATTTTATACAAAGATCCCCTAAATACTTTCTAAAAATTTTATTTATTTGAGGGAGAGCGCGCACATGCACGAGCAGGGGAGGGGCAGTGGGAGAGGGGAAGCCGACTCCCCTCTGAGCACAAATCCTGCCGTGGATCTCGATTCCACAACCCCAAGATCACAACCCAAGCCGAAGTCCAGAGTCGGATGCCCAACTGACTGAGCCACCCAGGAGCCCTATCCCTAAATACTTTTAAGTATATAGGTTGTATACATTTGTAATAAACCTGCCCTTCTGATTTGGTCTCATTAACTTGGAAATGAAATGGAATTGCTGGAGCTGCACCTGAGTCCATTTACCTTGATCCTCTTTGGTTACCCTCCTCCTTAGTAGATATTTTACCAAAAGGCCAAATTTTCAGGTGTATTTCTGTGGCTTTTAGGAAATTTACCATTTGTTTGGAGTATTTTTTCCTCATGTGAACTTCAAAATAAAAGGATTGAATAATTTTGGAGCAGAGTATCTCAATAGTGTTTATGAGCATGAGCTTTGGAGACAGACCCTCATGGGTTTGAATCCTAGCCATGTCACTGACTAGTTGTGTCATTTAGGTGCGTGGGACATTTTTCCTCGGTAAAGTGGAATGTCATGAGATTTATTTTTTTATTTTTTTTTAAGATTTTTTTATTTATTTGAGAGAGAGAATGAGAAATAGCACGAGAGGGAAGAGGGTCAGAGGGAGAAGCAGACTCGCCGCTGAGCAGGGAGTCCGATGCGGGACTCGATCCCGGGACTCCAGGATCATGACCTGAGCCGAAGGCAGTTGCTTAACCAACTGAGCCACCCAGGCGTCCCGGAATGTCATGAGATTTAAAAAAAAAATAGTATGTGGGACTTGCTTGGTACCTAGTGAGCCCTCAAGTAGTTGTTAACTGCTGCTGCTCGTGTTCCCGATGAAAGGGACTGCCGGAAAAGAGACAAGTATTCTCTTCTTAGTCCTGTTTGATAACTTGCTTTTACCCTTTCCTAATTCCAGAGCCACTGAGAATTAACCCCAGGCCAGTCTAGAAAAGGAAATTCTCCCTTGGAGCTTTCAGCCCTGCAGAATGTGTGCTCTCTTTCTTTTCTGGAAAGAGGAAATTACTCATTCTCAATTCCATCTTTTATCTTTTTAAAGATTTTAGCCATCTTTGAGTATATAACATTCATTATCCATATGGGATGTTTGGAAAACTTCCTGTTTACTCCAGGGCACCCCTGATAAAGGATGTGGATAGTCATCTCATTGTTACTAACTAAACACGGCCTGCTTTTTATAAACACCTTTGTTTGGATAATGCAGTCTCACACTTGAGGTGTGACTGTATGTCAACTTGCTGGCATCTTGTGTGATATTTGGAGGCTAGAAAATACGAAATTAGTGAGATGAGCAAGTGGGTCTCTATCCTGTTTGGAGTCTTTCCAGCAGTTTCCACACCACCGTGAGTTCCCTTCTGGAAGCCTTACCGATGTTTGAGCTGCGTGTTGATACTCACTTTGTTTCTGTGCTTTCTTTTCTCTTTCCTGTAACAGAAACCAAAGCCCAAACCCCGGCCATCCATCACAAAGGCAACCTGGGAGAGTAACTATTTTGGGGTGCCCTTGACAACTGTCGTGACCCCAGAGAAGCCCATCCCTGTGTTTATCGAGCGATGTATTGAGTACATTGAAGCTACAGGTAAGAGCGCGACGCAGAGCCGAGGACGGCTTTCACTGTCTGCGGGCTGTTCCCAGAGGCCGGAGTTGTCGGGGCGCAGGGCTCCTCTCTCCGGAAGTGCGAGAGGCTTTCTGAGAAGGAGCTGAGCAGTCTGCTCAGCGGTCAGCCCTGCGGGTCCTCCGTCGGCATGTAGTTCTGAGGCTGTCACTCAGGATCCGTTAGACCTTTCAGTGCGCGGAGCATCCTGTTCTCAGGACTGCAGCTGGGGCTGGTGCTAGATGCCGTCTCCATGCCCCCTCAGCTGCCTGTCAGAGCCGGCAGCCTGTCTGTCGCAGTCCCCGCGGGTCCGTCAGCTGTTCAAGGGCCGGGGAAGGGTCGTATTACCGTTGCGTCTGCAGCACCACACTGGACACAAATGCTAGTGTAGTTTGGCTTAAGACAGCGAAGGAGTGGTTGTGACTGTTACAGCCCTTGGCCATTGAGCAGGTGCCTGAGATTCATTATTGACAGCATTTTTTTCCTGAGGTCAAAAACCAGCGAGGATCCTTGGATATCTTCTGGTCAGGCAGCTCTCTTTCAACTCCACCGACAACTTGGTGTTATCATGAAGACCCGCTGTCTTAATAGTTTCCACGTTGTTCTTGAAGTGACAAAATTTTCCCTGTGTTGGAAACATTTATTTCGTTCATTTAGTGTGATCCCATAACATGTCTCTTCGTCCTCTCTTTTGAAACCTCTGGAACTTCCGTTTTCATGCCATTGTTTCCCTTGGTTTTCTCCTGGGCACTTTCAGAGCTGATGAGTTTGAGGAGACGGTGGTATAGCAGGCACATGGTTATGTCAGTTCTTGAGCATTAACAGTTGGGCTCAAGAGTATAGGCTTAAACTAATTTGAAACCAAGGTAGGGATTAGAGCCTTCCTCTGTGTTCTTTCTGATTCCAGTGTTATCTGTGATGATACTAAGTATTGTGTGGTGTGCACAGCCTCCCAGGCATCCTATTAAGCTGCATGACAGTGTTAATATTTACTTAGGATGTGCCAAATCAGGGAAAATACGTTTCAAGTTGAAGCCTGCTAAAGACTTTGTAGTTATTTCCAGGGTTTTCTCTGCAGCATACTGGGGTTGAATCACAGTAAGCACTTTGCCTAATCATAGCAGATCTGCAGCTTTGTTTATTAGTTCATTCTGTTCCCAAAGGCTTTTCTCAGTGTCCATCTTTTTGACACTGGTTTTATATCCATTTCTTTCTGGCTCCTCTCCCTTGGGCGAGGAGAAAATCTACACAAAGATTTGGTGACTTCAGGTGACCGAAGCCTCTACTTGTTGACCTAGCACTTCACAGAAACAGTTTGTGTCATCTCAGGGAGGGGGAGGGCACTTTTTCCTGAACTTTTTGTTTTGAAGTTATTTTAGATTTATTGGAAAGGCACAAAAATTATAAGTTTAAACAAATTGAAAGTTAGAAAAATCCCCAGGTTCCTTAAATGTATTTTACCAGTTTCCCCATACCATTCTTTCTGTATATATTTGTATCTTTTTTTCTGAAATGTTTGAAAGTTTGCAGATCTGATGCACCTTTACTTCTAACTACCTCCGTGGGTATTTTCTAAAAACATTCTCTTACATAATCACCAAGCAGCTATCACACTTAGGACATTAACACCGACCCAGCACTAAGCTACCTAATCTGTGGATATTTTCATTTCATCAGTTGTCCCAGTAATGTCCTTTATAGCAAAACACAAAAATTGTTTTGGGCCAGGAGCTAACCCTGGACCACATGATAGGTTTACTTGTCAAGGCTCTAGTCTCTTTTAATCTAGAACAATTTAGTCTATCCATGTTTCATGGCCTTGATAGTTTTTTGTTGTTGTTGTTGTTGTTGTTGTTGTTTAAAGCTTTTATTTATTTGACAGAGAGAAAGCAGGGGGAGCAGCAGAGGGAGAGGGAGAAGCAGGCTCCTGGCTGAGCAGCGAGCCCGATGCGGGGCTCGATCCCAGGACCCTGAGATCATGACCTGAGCCGAAGGCAGATGCTTAACCGACTGAGCCACCCAGGTGCCCCTAGGCCTTGATAATTTTGAATAATACAGATAAGTTATTTTGTAATAGGTTCCTCCTCAGTTTGGTGCTTTTTGTTTGTTTTTGGGGTGTTTTCCTCACGGTTAGGTTCATACTTGCACCTGGGGCAGAAACAGCAGGGAAGTGATGCCGTGTCCTTCTCGATGCATCACATCATGTGGCACATGATGTCAGTTTGTCCCATCACTGGCAGCGTTCACTTTGATCACTTGGTTAAGGTGATGTGGTATGTACTAAGCTTCTCTACTGCAAAGCTACTCTTTGCCCGTAGTTTTACTCCTTGATTCCTTCAGCATTTATTAGTTGGTTTTCTCTTGTCAGGGAGAGCTTTCCCTTCTCAGGGGGAGCCTTGTGTGAATGGTCTCCTCAAGTGGCTCACCTGTGGTAGCCCAAGGTGCTGGGGTGTTACCCAGATGCCCTCTAGCAGGGCATATCAGTGGTCTTGACCTACCCCACCCACCGTGCTTCTTTCACTCTTAGCCTGTGATTCACTTTTTGCTCTCCACTGATAAAATTATGCTTCTCCTTGCCCTTCTGCTTATGAATCCTTTCGGATATAAGACTTCACCACCAGCCACTACCAAGCTGCTGCTTTTCTTAAAGCTCTGTGAGACTGTGCCACTGTCTGCCCTGTCACCCAGAGCTTGGCGCTTCAGGGTCATCTCCAGTCAGCTCCCAAGTCTGTCACTTGTGCTTCATCATCTCTTGGCTTTGTCCCCTCCATTTCATTTCTGCTTCCCCATCATCACCCTCCGCAGTCCATCCTGATTACATGACAGTTCCTCTTCCAAAAAGCTCTTTTTGCTGCCTCCTTGCCTACCAGACATGGGCCGCAGTCTTGCCTCCTCCCATACACAGTACTGTTAGGCTTGTCTGCCTGCCTTCCTGCCCCCCTGCCCGCCTTCCTCTGTCCCTCTCTCCCTTCATTCTTCCTTTTCTCTCCCCCACTTTCTGTTTTAACTACAACAAGCATTAATTTTTAAATTGTCTTATAAGAATACAAGCTGAATGCTTTATTTTTCCATTTTTTAAATTTAAGTTAATTAATATATATATAATGTATTATTGGTTTCAGAGGTAGAGGTCAGGATTCAGCAGTCTTATGTAGTACCCAGTGCTCATTACATCACATGCCCTCCTTAATGTCTGTCATCCAGTTACCCCATCCCCCCAGCCCCCCTCCACCGCAGCAACCCTCAGTTTGTTTCCTATGATTAAGAGTCTCTTATGGATTGTCTCCCTCTCTGGTTTCATCTTGTTTTATTTTTTTCTCTCTTCCCCTATGATTCTGTTTTGTTTCTTAAATTCCACATATGAGTGAGATCATATGATAATTGTCTTTCTCTGACTGACTTATTTCACTTAGCATAATACCCTTTAGTTCCATCCATATCGTTGCAAATGGCAAGATTTCATTTTTTTGATGGCTGAGTAGTATTCCATTGTGGATACATACCATGTCTTCTTTATCCATTCTTCTGTCGATGGACATCTGGGCTCTTTGCATAGTTTGGCTATTGTGGACATTGCTGCTATCAACATTGGGGTGCAGGTGCCCCTTCGGGTCACTACATTTGTATCTCTGGGGTAAATACCCATAGTGCAACTGCTGGGTTATAGGGTAGCTCTATTTTCAACTTTTTGTGGAACCTCCATATTGTTTTCTCAGGTGGCTGCATCAGCTTGCATTCCCACCAGCAGAATTTCTTGGTACTTCTCTGCTTTGTCTGTGTTCTTCGTGTAGTGTGGAATGTATCCCGCATCCCTCCTTGCCTCTGGAACTTCCCTCGTTCTTCCAAGACTCCCCAGCCCCAGTAGCCCTTTGAATGTAACCTCCCTGCTAGTTCTCAGGCACATTTCAACTTGCTGAGAATAGGATTCTCTGTTCTTGTCTCCTGAGTGTGGCACACAATATACATTACCTGTTGATTAAGTGAGTGGTGTTCAACCTGGAATACCTTAATTCCATTGTCTTCCCCTTCCTCCCTCCCTCCCTCCCTCCCTCCCTCCTTTTAAATTTTGGTTATATGCATTGCCTCGTTGGCATTAGTTTGTACTTTTGTAGAATTTCGGGAAAAAAAATTAAACCTGGTATCTATGAATTTAGCGTGTGTGTGTGGGGGGGTGGATTGTGTGCTCTTTTCCCTAAAAGAATTTTTTTCCTCTTCATAAAATTTAGTAGGCATGTTTACAGTAGAAATTCACCAAATGACAAAAACTGTGAAAAAGAATTTAAAGAGTCATTGATCTTCCACTTAGTGAATACCACTGACAATGGTCTGCTGTATTTCCTTATAGCCTTGTTTCTGTGCATATGTGTGTTGGTTTTTACTTTTACATAATTCAGAATATGCAGTATGATAGTTCTCAAAAAATTTTTAGCATAACTTAGATGTGGCAAAAGAGCCCTGAGTTTACCAGCTTACCTACTCCTGTTTTCCTGCAGGAAAAGAATTCAGTAACCAAGAGGTGGGTTGGAGGACCATTTTTTGAGAATCACTGCTTTTTTTTTTTTTTTTAAGATTTTATTTATTTATTTGACAGAGAAACACAGTGAGAGAGGGAACACGAGCAGGGGGAGTGGGAGACGGAGAAGCAGGCCTCCTGCAGAGCAGAAAGCCCGATGCGGGGCTCGATCCCAGGACCCTGGGATCATGACCCGAGCCAAAGGCAGATGCCTAACGACTAAGCCACCCAGGCGCCCCAAGAATCACTGCTTTTTAAACCAGACATTGCTTTGTGAGCATGCTCCCTGTCATTAACTACTTCATGAGAATATGAAAAAAAAAAAAATTTTTTTTTAATTTGAAGAGCAACCGGTTTTATTAAGTATTCATGAATCGGGCAGCAACCCATCTAGCATGCAGAGGGGATCTCCCTCAAAGAATATGACATTTAGGGCGCCTGGGTGGCTCAGTTGGTTGAGCAACTGCATTCG